ACCCAAAGTTGGGTTGAAATAACCCAGCATTTTTTAGAGTGTACTATATATTATATATTTTGAAACCCAACATCATTTTTATGAAATGTTCATACATTTTTAAGTGTGAATAACATGTCCAAACACTCTTTGGAGCCACTGTATTTACACATCAGGCTCAAATGTGAAGGACTTTCTAAACACTGTAGCTTCTGAATCAAACTGGCTTTGCTATTTCCCTTTCTCACTCTCTCTTTCTCATTCTTGCTTTCTCTCTTTCTTTCTTTCTGTTCTGTCATTTTCCATTAGACGAAAAAGAAGAAACTTCAATAAGCAAGCCACAGAGTTCCTGAATGAATACTTCTACTCCCACCTCAGCAACCCGTACCCCAGCGAAGAGGCCAAGGAGGAGCTGGCAAAGAAATGCTCCATTACAGTCTCACAGGTGAGACACACCAACCTTCACCCCATACAGGGAGGCAGAATACATATGAATGCTTAGAAATTTGTAGTACAAAGAAACTAAAGAGCTCTCAAGTAACATCGAAGTTGAAATGAATTTATGTTCTTTCTGATTTAATCATTAATTCTTGTCTTCTCAGGTATCCAACTGGTTTGGAAACAAGAGAATCAGATACAAGAAAAATATTGGAAAATTCCAAGAAGAAGCCAACATGTACGCCGCCAGAACCGCCGTGACCGCAACCAACGTCTCCACCCACGGCAGCCAAGCCAACTCGCCTTCCACACCAAATTCAGCAGGTGAGTATTGCAATAAATCAACACACAAACAACAGATGTGTTCGTTTTTCATTGGTCTTCAGTGAGTTTTAGAATATAGCCCTGCTAGTGGCACAGAAACAACTTTAATGTCATCAACTGGCAAATAAGCATTTCACCATGGTAATGTTTTGAATATTCGACAATTGCCTGCCTTTAATGTCCTCCCTTTACCGTAGCATTCCCATAATACCTCTCTTTATGAGATCCAAATCTGCCTCTTCTTTATCTACATCAGCAGCTTGGCCAGCAGCATAGCTTATATAAGACTTTCGCTTTCCACTACCAATAATTCTCCTTTTACTCGCCAATTTTCTGCTTTTCTTCAGTTTTGCTAGTCTGACTTAGCAGTCGTTTGGCTAAAATTGTATTTGCTTTATCTCGTGTGAACGCACATAAACTATTAGCTGGTTCGGTAGCTGTTGTCTGGTTGACCTTCTGGATGTCATTATGACGAGATGGTCAAGCCTTTTGTCATATAGCCTTGAAGTGATTAGAGGTCCATGTATATTTGATTAGTGCCCTGCGGCTTTTAAAGCGGAAATTAAGTTAAGCCCTGCTCTCTCTTAAACATCTTGGGAGTTCTCCTCCATTAAACGACAAATAGCATTCTTTGATTCCTTCTGTGACTCAATTAGCACATCCTGAATGACTTGGCTGTGGCAGTGTAACTGTACTGTCCATCTTAGATGTCACGGTAGAATTAATGAAAGACCCATTGTTGTTCTTGAAACACTTTAATAGCTATTTTAGATTTTTAGTGCTTAGCAAAAGATGCGGTCACATTAGCGAAATTTCGGTGAAATTTTGCGGGCCAAATAGGATAATTGTCAATAGTGTAGCAATGTATGAAGCAGAGCTCACACAGAAGTCACTTCCAAACCAAGCAGCTTTCTGTGTGACCAACTTGAACCCGATGTAAAATCTGCAGGGGGACATTTTTTGTCCTCACACAAAATTCAAGAACGCATGAATTCCTGTTAAAATGACTGGTTTTTACCCACAAAAATTTGCCAAACAACAGTAAATGTTACTGCATCTGAAGACAAATGTCTATGTGTGGCATTTAACTACATTAGAACTGCTTTGTTTCCCTACTGAAACAAAACAGCTTAAATTTGCCAAAGGCGGTTAGCTAGTTACCCAGCCTTGCCAAGATGTCAGGCAAGTCTGTTTTGATGGTTTTAGAGGGATTTGGGCACTGGCCAACCAGCTAAAGATCAGCATGTCCAGGCTGAAAAACTAGCTACGAACAGTAAACAAATTTAGGCAGGTTCAGCAGGGCTGTTCTAAAACAGTGATTTACCTTGCTGTCTGCTTACTATATAGACAGCATTCTAACCGGAAAGGAACATGAAAAGAGACTGGTTCATTATGCTGTCTAGCATTTAAAAAAGTGTAGTGCTTCTCATGTGAAGTGCACTGGAGACTAGAATGATTTAGGTCTGGGCAATAAATCCACAATATCGATAATAAATGTTTGAGTAATTTCTGATGTTTAGCCTATATCTAGATGTTCAGGTATGTGTCAAAACTCTAAGGTCTTCACAACAATCTGCCAAAATAAAAGTTTGGTTTAACTTGAATAAATTATGACAGTAATATATTACTATCCTACAGTAAATTGTACTTCTTGAAGTAATAATAATAATAATCTTTTTATTATTATTATTATTATTATTATTATTATTATTATTTCAAGGAATATCATACAACCAAGATATTTTTCATCCATGTTTTATTTCATACAGTATACAAGTTTTGTTGTGCAACACTTTATTTGACAAAATAAATGCAATAAAAATGCAGTGTTTTGTTGTAAATTGTTATATTTTCAGTTGATTACATTGTAAAACATACTGATTAAATTGTTCAAGTTTTATGAAAAATTAAAACTGATTTCATAGGGTCCTAAGTTAAAAGTTATGTTTACTTGTAAGCAAACAGATTATTTTTACATTCATTCTCAAGGTCTGATAAATATGTGGAATGCATTTATTTCCCTATTAAACGGTTTAAATGAATATTGTGATAAATATTGATATCAAATTATATTGAAAAAAAATATTGTGATAAATATTTCTGGCCATATTGCCCAGCCCTTAATTGATTCCAGTAGAGTTTGGCATTGGCGTGTTGCTAAGCTAATAGTGTAATCCCCTAATAGGCATAAATATACAAAGCAAACAAAAATATTAGGTACTTTTAGATTGAATGAACTATAACATTTATAACAGCATTTCTCTCTACTCGTTCTAACCTTGGATTTAGGATTGGGAATTTGGTACCGAGTTTGTGTGGTTTTCAACACTTATAGTAACAGCTCTGCACTACTAACCCTCCTTACTTCAATCTTACTGTTGCATGACCGTTTCTTGTCTTTATCTATCTCTGTCTTTCTCTGTCGCTCTCTCTCGGCCTCTCTTCCTCTTAGGTTCTGCTGGCTCTTTTAACATGAACTCCGGGGACTTGTTCATGAGTGTGCAGTCTCTGAATGGGGACTCGTATCAGGGGGCCCAAGTCGGGGCCAACGTTCAGTCACAGGTAGGGAGTACTGCTAAGAGAGAGGGCAGATGACCGGAACTAATTTCGTTCAGTTAAACCTAATCACACATCTTAATGGTGGTCCTGATTACCTCACTTGCAAAATCACGTCTGGGAAGCTGTGGTTTACACAGTGGGCCTGGATCCATTAGTGCTCAAATTCTTTTGTTATATTTATTACATTTCTAAGAAAGGACTCTTAGAATTGTGCTGCTGCCTTTTTACGGGGTACTTTTGTTAACTGAGCTGAACCCCATTTGCAAGCAAGCACATGCTGTTCTGAAAAAAAATAATGATATTTTGTTCTTGTGTTTGCCCATATTTTCAAGGGAACTTTCACCATTAATACTGAATGGCATGTCTATGTCATAACTGATCAAATAGTCATCATCTTGTTATATATCCTTGTCACAACAAAGTTCATCTCTCAGCGCCAGCCTGCTCATCATATTGTCCGGCGTGTGTACGTTTCTGTTCAGCCGCGGCTGACTTGACGGGCCTCCTGACCTTGAGGACGGGCTGGGGTTACAGTTTGCCTCCAGTAGTTGTACCATGGCCATTGTCTTCACTTCCAAATGAATAGACCATCAGAGACAGTCTTGGAAACAATACAGCTCTTGTCAGCGGGTTTGCGTATCTGTCATGCTGTCACATCTGCCGCCGTAGCTGCCTGACCTTGCCCGGCACACTAGCATCCAAACACAGGGTGCTTATATATAATATATATATATATATATATATATATATATATATATTGCAATTTATTATGACAATTATTATAATAATTAGAATAATGCTTTATTAAAAATAATTTTATTATAAGTTGTATATTTGTGGTTAGATTTTTTTATTACATTTAAAAAAAAATGTTTAATCTAAATTCACCCCTGTAATTACACTCTAATCACTGATTTTTTTATATTTGTTTATTTATTTATTTTTTATATATCAATTCAGAAACAGATTGTATCCTTTGTTTGATATCTGCAGCACAAACATTTCATTCAACATTTGATGACCTTTTTGGTTGCCAATATTCTTTTGATATCTGGGTGACCTTTTAACAGCACAAACGTCTTTGTTTTGTATCAGTATTGTCTGACTCAGTCTTTTGTTTGTGTTGTGTTCTTCTGTCTGCAGGTGGATACTCTTCGCCATGTTATCAGTCAGACAGGCGGATACAGTGAAAGCCTCGCTGCCAGTCAGATATACAGTCCACAGGGCATCAATGTAAGTCCAAACTTAGCCTCTTCACTCTTTCGGTGCGTCCGAATTTTTTAAATGTTTTTTGAAAGTAGTCTCTTATTCTCACCAAGGCTACATTTATTTGACCAAAAATACAGTAAAACAGTAATATTGTGAAATGTTATTACAACTTAAAATAACTGTTTTCTGTTTTAATATATTTTAAAATGTAATTTATTCCTGTGATGGAAAGCTGAATTTTCAGCAGCCATTACTTCATTCTTCAGTTTCACATGATCCTTCAGAAATCATTCTAATATGCTGATTTGGTGCTCAAGAGACAATTTTTATTATTTTCTATGTTGAAAACAGTGCTGCTTAATTTGGTTATGGAAAATTTATTTCAAATTGAAAACAATGTAAAAGCCTTTACTGATCAAGTCATCGCATCATTACTGAATACAGGTATTATTTTCCATAAAAAAAATCACTGAACCCTAACCTTTAAATGGAACAGTGTGTGTGTGTGTATATACAGTATATATATATATATATATATATATATAGTTAAACTCTATCTGTTCTGTTGCCATATTGATTAGTGGTGCCAGCGGCAATATGCACACTAGCAGTTGCCAAGGTGGCCGTAAATGTGACCGCTGATCTGTGTTAGCGTTACCATGGCTCCTTCAGCCACATAAACAGCAACAACTTCAAAGAAGCCCAGACGCAGGTCTATTCTGGCCATCAAACTCATTCAAAGCCTACGATGGTGTCCTCCACCACAGCTCTGAGCGCACATTAAAAGAATTGTGTTAACCAGAGGAGACGAGCAGCTCCAACCATCAGTTTTTTGTACTGGGGGAGGAGTGTTTAAGAGAGAGGGAGAGGGAGAACGGGAACACAAACGGCAGAGGCCAGCATGTAAAATCCACAGCGACAAGCTGTGCCGCCAACAGAGGAAATTGATCAGACAGTCTCAAGGCAGGGCTGAATAGAGATTTGGGACAGCAATCCAAGTGCATTGGTCATATCACACATCTGCCACCTTAACAGCACTGACAGGGAGCCAGCAAAGTGTGAGGAGGAAAAAAGACAAACACAGTAACACGGTCTCTCTAAATAGCCGCTCTGAAGCAGAGCCGAATGTGTCCTGTGGAGGTGACCCAGCGCTTCTGTGCCACCTATGGCTGATGGAGAACATGTTTTTGTCAGAACTGCTCACAGTGATATAAATAAATATTTGAGGTCATTTGAATAAAATATTATCTGAAAAATATTTCATTCACATACATTTTAAATGTAAAAAAAAATATGAATTAAAATCTGATAAGACGTTTCATCTGAAAATGTATTTTATTCACATACATTTTTAAATGTACATTTCTGAATTAAAATCTATGAAATCTATTATATATTTTTCACAGATTTTGAATGTAAATATGTCTGAATAAAATAAAATCTGAAAAGATTTTGAATTGTTGTGAATTCATTTTCATAAAAAATTCATTTTAAATAAAAATCTGAAAAGACATTTTATCTAAACACTTATTTAATTCACAGATTTTATATGTAATTATTTCTGAATTAAATAAGATCTAAAAATACATTTTAGCTGAGCATTTATTTTATTCACATAGATTACATACACACATGATTCACATAGATTTACATTTACATGTAAATATTTTTAAAACCAATTAATTCTGTCAAGACAATTTATCAGATTTTTTACATTCACATAAATCCTAAAATGTAAATATTTCAAAATTAAATCAAATCAGAAAATATATTTGATCTAAATTTTGTTTAATTCACATATAGGTTGAATGTAATCGCTATCTTAAAATGTTGCCATATATATATATATATATATATATATATATATATATATATTTTAATTATTATATATATTTATTT